CTATAATGGCTGGGCAGCTACAAGGCTATATACAAATCTTGGAAAAAATAAGGAGGATGGTCCTCCCATATTTTTAGCCTGACTAACTGACTGGTTAAGACACTATCCCAGGAAGTAAGAAACCTGGCTTCTAGATCCCTGTCATCCAGAGAGCATATGACCCTGCATCTCACTGACTTCTTAGGAGAGTGTCCTAACTACCAAACTGGCTACTCTCCAGTTCCTCCACTGCATCTTGTCTTCAACAGTTATTGGATTAAATGGCTAGTAGTTAATAGATAAAATGTCTAGCGAGGTAGTTCCTGTAACCTTGGGAGAAGAATCCAGGCTAGAATCCAGGGCCTGCTTCCATCCAGCACAGCAGCCATTTCATCGGCCCGTACATCCACTAACTTATGTTCTTCTTGACCTCATATTTCCCACTTACGACTGACCAAAGGGCTAGTTTTAACAGGAGGTCTGGATGAAAATGTCCTATAAGAGCCCGGTATTATTATTATTATTACCACCAAACGAAGTGGGGAGGTTCGTTAAAAAATGTTAAGTGCTTTGACATTCTCTGATGAAAGAGTCAGTAAAAATGTGAAATATTATTATCTGAGAGGTTGCTTTTATAGTTAATATATTATTACTTTTGGCATTAAACACATCAACCATTTTACGTAAAACTGCTAATTCTCTTTTACATTCATGGAATCATAGAAAAGAAAAGTTGCAAGGGGTGTTAGGAGTTCATTTAGTCCAACCTTTGCATCAAGGGAGCATCATCCCTGTCTAAACCATTCTAGATAAATGTTTGTCGAACCTATTCTTAAAAATTTCACAAATAACCCTCTTGCACAACTACCAAGCACAATGCTCAAAACATCAAAAACACCCTAACTTGTGACAGATAAAGCAGCACTATGTTGCTTTTGTTTTTTACTTATATTTGGTTTTGGTTTACTGCCTAGTTCTGTTCAGTTACTTTTGATTCATTAATAAGCTGTTTTCATTTAAAAATGTCTGCTGGGGCAACTCCACCCAATATGGCCTGCTTCTGATGCAGGACATGGTTCCCCAGGAGGTGCTTGACACCTGTAGGGGGTCTGTCCCTGGGCCCCAGAGTGATCCTTCATTCTTTCTCTACTCTACAAGTTCCTTAGAAACTCCACCTGCCTCTGTTCCACCCTCAGATGCTAATTCTGGCCCTCTGGCCCATCTGTACCCTCTAGGACACTAATCACTTTAATGGTGGTGACCACTCTGCCCAGTACTGAAAGTCAGAAACCTCTTGAGCATTTAGTGGCCTGGGGCCCTGCACTTTGAGCAGTCAGGGCAGGGAGATCCATCCTTCCCCCATGTCTGTCCATCACTGCACCACAAAACCCACCCCCACCTGGCCTTCTTTTGGCCACAATGGTTTGGGAGAAGGCTGTGACCATGGGGATGGTCTGTAGTGGCAGTGGGTCTCCTTGCTCCCCTTTTATTCCCTTCTTCCCTCCAGGGGCTTTGCACTTCCCCCAGTGCCTGTGTCCTCATCATATCTGTGTGGAGCAGGAGTGGACTGTACTTCCCCAGGCTGCACAACATGCCCGATCAGTGCCTGACTCATCAGCAGAAGTATGTGTGTGGGGTGGGGGGGGGGGGGGAAGGGGGTGGCAATGGGTCCTATAGGCTGTCCTGCAGTAGTGGCTGCTGCATTGGTAGTGGGTGGGCTGGGGTGTTTTGGAAAGGGGGCAGCGAGGTGTTGGAGGAGTGGGAGCAGAACACCTGAGGCAGCTGTGTGGAGAACTCTGTCCTGGGGCCCATGTTCTTGGCTGCAATGCACACAATTGAGGACTGTGGACAGTGGGGGACTCCCATGAAATGGAAAGCACGGGCTTGAACTCCAGGGTCTCAATTTCCATGGAATTGGAGCTTTCCCTCCACTCCTGTGCACCATGCTCCATGCTTTCAACCATGCCAGAGAAGATGTCAAGGAAGCTCAGGTCCAGCTGCAGGTGCAACTTGACTCCCAGATCCTATGATGGTGCAGAGAACAGCACCAAGAGGGTAGACTCCTCAGGGGCCACTGCCATCAGCTGACCTCTTGCCCTGAGGCCCCCAGGGACCTTGCTTGGTTCCTGGGCACCTGCTTGGCCCGTCATCTCAGGACCTCCCTATGCCTCATGTAACAGGGGGCCTGCTCGGGGCCGATCTCCATGGCCCACCCACCTGTTCTTGGGCCAACCACCTGCCTTCTCTCCTGTCATGCCTTGATGTTAATTGATTAACTAATAGATGCCAATTAAGCGGGAAGCTACCCATTTTGCTGCCCTGATGCCAGGGGGCACTCTGCAGCTCCTTTCCTCCCCTATACAGCAGCCCAAGCCTCGCAGATGGCATCCTGATGTTCACATAATCACCGGCCCCCACAGTGGGCCCTAGAATCCTCCTAACAGGACCCCTCCATGATCCCTCCGCTCAGGTGGAATCTCTGCCTTCATTCAGGCTACCTAGCCCCCCCCCAAACTATTTTCCCCTCTCGGGTGTGGTCCCCCCAGGACCTCTGGCTACCAGCCCTGGCCACCTCCAGGCCAGTCGGGACCCAAGGCCCCCGGCTCTTGGGTGTCCCCCTGGCCCTTTTGACCGTCCTGGTCCTGGCCCCAGCATAGGCCAGTCGAGGGTACTCTCTTGTTCAGGTCGGGTCTCTAGCCCCTCACTCTCTCCAGGGGTCTGCCCTCTGGGCCCTTCACACAAACACAGGGGTTACCCACCCGGTGGTGGGGGCTAGGGGTTAAGGTGCCCCGACCTGCCTTTCACCGGGGTGGTAACTGGCCTGGCATTTCCTGGGGGCTCCCACGCCACTGGGAGCCCCACCAGGCCACCCACTCCTGGCAGGGTGCAGTTTTAGGTCATCCCCAGGACCAGGAGCCTCCTGACCATCCCCTACAACTCCTCCCTTACCTCCAGATGATCTTAGCAGCCCTCCAGCCAGGCAATGTTGTTGCCTGGCCTCCAGCAGCCAAACTGCCCTGCTTATATAGGCAGCCCTTAACTCCAAAATGGCTGCTCTCATCAGGCACCTGGTGGTTGTCAGCACCAGGCCCTTAAAGTGGCAGGCACACACAGTGCCCTGCCACACTTGTCTTCTGGGGTTCTCCTCAGCTCAGTGTCAGGGCTGTGTACACATTCTGGGGTGCAGGGGCACAGACTAGGGGCTCAGGTTTCCCCAGGTACCTGACACACATTGCAGGAAAGGCATAATATGGCACATGACTGCTCCAACCATCCATTGATCAAGCAGGGCAAACGTCAAAGTAAAAGGCGAGCAAAACAACAGGTCCCAGGGCTCATGCAGAGGACAGACATGCCTCCCTTCCACACATTGCTATAGTAAAGCTGATTCTGTATGAATCAGACAGCCATGACTCAATACACAAAAGCCTGTTGCCTAGTCCCTCTAGATTAATGGATTCATGGAGATCTACAACTTTGTGGAAAACTGGCAGAGGGGAGCAAATGGCACAACCAAGAGCCCAGATGGTTGCTATTAAGAAATATCCATGTTTTGCTGTTAATTACTAGAAAGGGGTTGTTTTATCATAAAGTATCGAACCATGGCAATAGATATTAACATTAAAGTTGAAACCAGAACTGACGCACATTGGAGGAAAGGCATAATATGGTACATGATTGCTCCAAACATCCAACGATCAAGCAGGACAGCTGTCAAAGTAAAAGGCAAGCAAAACAACAGGTCCCAGGGCTCACGCAGAGGACACAGATGCCTCCCTTTCTCCCCACTGCCTGTCTGTGGCTGACAGATGGCTGGAGGCAGGCAGTAGGTGTAGGGGGAGGGGCTGTGCTGGCTTGGCTCTGGCAGAGTTCAGGGGCAGGGCCCACTGCGCACTTGGCTGGAGCACCCTAGTGTGGGGCAAGTGCTAGTGTGCCTTCCTGCAAAAGAAGAGTGGAGGGTGGGGGAAGGCCACAAAGGAGGCTGGGATGCTAGAGGACAGTGATCTAACTTGAATTGATTGTGGTTAAAGTCCTATACTGATGCCACTATCTTGCTGACTCAAGATCCTTAATCTGTATTTGTTCCTACAAGGTGTTTCAGCATTTCAAAACAGCAGAATATATATGATGAAAACCATTTTTTTTGTTTTTAAAACAAACAAACAAACACACAACCAAAACCTGCTCTTTCCATCCCTTTTTATTCCCATTGTCATATTTCTCACTACAATCAGGTCTCACCAGACTAAATTCATGCTAACCAGAAGCAAAATGCACTTTAAGGAGGTTTTTCAAAATAATGGCAGAAATATATTTCATCTGTGTCCAGGTAAGACTCAAAACCATGTGAAATAATAGGATACTGTAAAATGACCAGAAAAAAGGAGTAATTAGGTATACTAAGAGGGATGGGAACAGCCTAGAAGATAATGATAACCAGGCCTGTGAATAAGAAAGTCTGTAGAGAAGCAGCTAAAAGATCTGTTGAATTCTGGCAAGTGTGAGGCAGAGGTATGGGCGGAGCAGGAGTCCCATCATCAAAGAAGGAGATAAATATGTTCTAATCACACCCAGAAACAGAAATTTATTTGTAAAAAATGGTTAGAATAGTCACATATTCTGAACAATAATCATTTAGCAAAATAAATGTCTGGATTACAGCCTCGCTATAATTGATATTGAATAAACAGTTGAAATAATTCATGTTAATTATTGATTTCTTGGACCAAGGTACAGCTGAAACAATATTTGCTTGAGCTATAAAAATGTTTTTTGTACACTGGGCATGATTTCCTTCAAAGAAATAGGCAAGTAAAGAATAATATTATCATTAACCTATATAATCCTGCTCTACACAAATGCACAAGTCATTCAGCCTCTGAGTTAACCTTTCATACCCAAAGTTGATAAATATTGCTAACTACAACTCAGTCACACCTAAAACTGAATATTTCATAGTTCAGTAGGCTCACAGTTGTAACTTTTTGTTTGTTTTACAGTTTATTGTTGAGCTTACAGGATCATGATATTTGGAAGCATGGAATAAGAGATATCAAATCAGCTTTTATACTGTTGTTGAGGAATCCATATAAGATGGGATTCAGGCAGCAGGACATCATGCCCAGTAAGTGACATATACAGTATACTAATTTAAAATGCCTATTAGAAATGAGATGGGCATTAAAATCAGTCACAACATGGAAAAGGTGAAGAGGCATCCAACTGACAGCAAAAACTAATATCAGAGCTGTCAGTCTGCAGAAAACCCGCCGAGATCTTGTCTTAATTCGAGTGATGGATCGGGATAGTGTAATTGCATCCTGCGCATCTGAATTTTCTTCTGGTTTCATCTCAAAGCAGATGGGTACCCCTGGTAGGAACTTACTTGAAGAAAGCTGGCTTCTTTGTGTCCCAGAGGTATCGGGGAGGTTTCCAGAATTATTATTCTGTTGATGCCTTAAAATAGCTGGCATCACACTAGAAGTCTTTTTACTATACCTTCTTCGGTGTTTTCTGACAAATGTGTAACTCCATCCAGAACTGCTGGAGAGCTGTGCCTGGGGTCCACTACTCTTAAGTGGATGAAGTGTGAGGTTTATCATCTCATTTTCTTCAAATCTGTTTTCCTTGTTTGACAGTTTGGAACTTACACTCCTGCAGACACTAGTATGACTTACAGTTAAACAAACCAAGGGTAATATATACTGCATGAATAATAAAGAAATAGTGAAGCTGATTCTGTATGAATCAGACGGCCATGACTCAATACACAAAAGCCTGTTGCCTAGTCCCTCTAGATTAATGGATTCATGGAGATCTACAATTTTGTGGAAAACTGGCAGAGGGGAGCAAATGGCACAACCAAGAGCCCAGATGGTTGCTATTAAGAAATATCCATGTCTTGCTGTTAAATTACTAGAAAGGGGTTCTTTTATCATACGGTATCGAACCACAGCAATAGATATTAACATTAAAGTTGAAACCAGAACTGACACACATTGGAGGAAAGGCATAATATGGCACATGATTGCTCCAAACATCCATTGATCAAGTAGGACAGACGTCAAAGTAAAAGGCGAGCAAAACAGCACAACTAAAATGTCAGAAAAGGCCAAGTTTCCAATAAGAATGTTTATTACTGTCTTCTGCTTGCGTTTTATTAAAGCCATTAGAATAAGCAGATTTCCCAGAAGACCAACAAGACTTATAAAGGTGTACAACCCAATCAGAAAGTACTGTACGTCATCTACACTGCTCTTATAATCTTCCCAGGCAGAAAAATCAGAACTTTTTGTAGTAGCAGAGGTGTTCTCCTTGGCAACGGTCGTGTCATTTTGGTCTTTGAGTTCTAAATCCATATTACAGTCCTGCTTAGAATCAGAAAGACATTAATTAGCAGCTGAAGAAAAGATGACACTGATTTTAATCATAATTTACAGAAACATCTTATTTTCTATTACTTTAGCACATTTGAAAGTATTGTGATAACTATACGTTGTAGCAAATCCTGTATGCCTATAAGCTGACATCCATTTAATTTCCATAAATCTTGGCATAAGTTGTACAGCCTACCTAGATCTCAACACCTTGGTTCTCATATTTCACAGTTATAATTTAAAAGTATGCACTGTAAAACGAGCAATTAAAAATTGCTCAGTGTGGGGAAGACCCTAGACGCCTTACATGAGTGAGCACTTATTCACAAAAGCAGTCCCTATACAGTCAGTGGGATTACTCACAAGAAAACCTGCTCATCAGTGTGGGAGGGGTTCACAATCACAGTTTGGCCATAAGCAAAAATAATTTATCTTACAGGACAACAAATTACACTGGAAGTATTTTAAAATACCTAATGTGTTGAAAGATGGAAATCTTTCTTACCTTGATACAAGGTTCCTGAGTTCCCACTGAGTTCACTGCCTAGCATGGTAATCCCTGAAATAGTAGTCATATTCAACCTGCATCTCTTAATTTGGAATGTTAACAACATTTCAGGGGCAATGCTATAGCCCTTTCTGAGCACATCTAGACATGCAAGTAATGCAAAGCGATAAACTCTGGCGTTTATTGCCATTTGAATGTGCATCTGGAAGCATAACACATTGACCTGGGTTGGAGCAGCCCCAGCTGGTAGGGGGTCGGGGGGGCAGCCTGCCAGCCTGGAGCTGCTTCCCCCAACCCAGCTCAATGTGCTGGGGATGGGCTGGCTGGAGTAGGAGGGTGCTTCAGTGTGGGGTTAGCCAGCAGGCAGCCCCTGCACTGAAGCACTCTCGTGTCCCAGCCAGCCAGGGCGGTGTCTACATGTGCGCTGCTGAGATATCTTATTCTCCACAGCAGGATAGTACTTGAATTTACATAGAGGCACACATTTAGACACCAAGACATTTACTGCACAGCTAATTTTAGTCTACTGTTCAGTAAACTTCTCGTGTAGACACGTCCATTGAGGCGTAATTACCACTAATGTCATAGGGAAGTTTGTCACAATAGAAGGGATACAGAGGCTTCTAAATTATTCTTATTATGAGATGTATCTATATAATGCTCATGAAGTACAGGTTTTAGTATTTAATTATTTCTCAAATAATATTTCCAAAAAACTGAAAAGTGAGGGAAAGATAAAGCACAAAAAAGCCACACGGTCACTGTCAGGTGTTCCTAAATTTTCAGGAATCTTTTGAGCAGAAGTTCTGGAGGTCCTACAAAACAAAGTAACTGGATGCAGTATAGAGAAGCCAGTGCTGTTTTTTTTAATGCAATGACACTGCAATCTTCATATACTTGCTTACTATTTGGGACATATCTAACACATTAGAATCATAGAAAATTAAGGGTGGAGGTGACCTCAGGAGGTCATCTAGTCTGACGCCCTGCTCAAAGCAAGACCATCCCCAACATATCATCCCAGCCAAGGCTTCGTCTAGCTTGGTCTTAAAAACCTCCAAGGATGGAGAATCCACAACCTCTCTGGGTAGCTCGTTCCACTGCTTTACTATCCTCGTAGTGAGAGAGTTTTTCTTAATGTCCAACCTAAACCTCCCTTGCTGCAAGCTGAGACCGTTGCTCCTTGTTCTGTTATCTGCCATCACTGAGAACAGTCCAGCTCCATCCTCTTTGAAATCACCCTTCAGGTAGCTGAAGGCTGGTGTTAAATCCCCCCTTAATTGTCTCTTCTCCAGAAGAGATGCACATTTTTTAGAGGGAGTGGCTTATAAAGGCTACGTGGATCATCCAATAGGCTGCATTTGTAAGGAACCTGCATGTACTGGGGTAACAAAATCAAAGAACAAGGGTGGCTTGAAATTCCTAGAAAGTAGAGGCCTGCTTGTATAATCTATTTTAGTGCTTTAAAACTTTGGACAAGTTTACTAGTCCTGAGAGATATCAGTTAAAAGGCTAAAGTAAACTCACCTTTCTCCTTTTTCCACTCTTGTTTCTGTTGTCATAGCTCTCTAACCTCTCTGACCACCACAGAAAGAACATTTGACCTTTAAATGGGGAGAAATGCCATACCTACCTTCCTCTAGCTCAGAGCTTTCCAAACTGTGTGCCGCGACACATTAGTGTGTCGGCTGCAGTGTGTAGGCGTGTCGCGCGAAATGCAGAAAATTTTGCGGAAGGGCACCGCAGAGCTCCCTTACTCGCGTCTGCTTCCCTTGGCCCCTCCCCCGGAACTGAATTACTGTGTCGCGAAATGATGCATGTCTAAAAAGTGTGTCACCAACATGAAAAGTTTGGAAAGCTCTGCTCTAGCTGCTAATCACCTTCTCAGAGCATACCTTCTTAGTGCACATTGCCAGCTTAGTACCAGTTCTTCCTGCCCCCTACCCTCAGCTACATGCTGTGTCTTCACAGATACTTTCAGATCTAGAGGACGTGGTAGATTTTGGCCACAGGAGAAAGCAGTGATGCATCTAGGGTAGGGCAGCCAGGGCAGCTGCAAGAGGCACAGACTCATGAGTGGAGGTAGGCACAGAAAAAAATGGCTGCCCTTGAAGGTGATTGTGCCAGCAGCATAGCAGCAGCAGCATCCAGAAATCACTCCTGCCCTCACGTACGATGGCTGCCCCAGGCTCCTGGCTATCTCATATTGTCTCTGGGAGAAAATAAAGTAAGCATCCCAGTGGGCCAAGCAAAGATGGCGCCTCTAAAAATTGCTGACTGTCCCTCTTAAAAATTACAAATCTACCACTTCCCTTCATCACAAAACTTACCTACATAGGGAGCAGAACCTAGAGACCTGGCCAGCTCTTAGGCATAAAGCACTCTAGAAAGGGCTATTTACCACTGGTTTTCATTCATGTAAAAGTCTGCTTCCTCTGTCATCTAAGGTGAGAACTATTGGAGGCTTTTAAGACCTGACTAGACAAAGCCTTGACTGGGATGATCTAGTTGGGGATGGTCCTGCTTTGAGGAAGGGGGTTGGACTAGATGACCCCCTGAGATTCCTTCCAACCCTAATTTTCTATGATTCCATTTATTAATGAGTATAATATCCACCATTTTTCCATCATCACCATCATGTGAGAGGGAGAATAAATAGATTTTGAATCTAGTGATTTTTTGTGACAATTTGACAAGTTTGGGATAAAGTGCTACTTAAACACAAACAGGACAAATGTAAGAGCAGGTGGAGCCAATGCGAATAATCTAAATAGTTTATTCATGATGTCATGGAGGAGTGCATTAGTTTAAAGTATGAATCTTTTTCTGGTAACTAGTGATATGATTGGATAAACTATATGGTGGATAGAATATCTGGTGCTTAGGGTAGTACTAAAGCAATGAGATTTGCAGGTGACCTAAACTATACATTACTATACTCCCCATTGTTCAGAAGCTTTTGTGAAGGGACACCTTAACTTGGAATTTTGGGGCATTCTAGTTTATGGGTTTTCAAATAAGTACAGCATTTTCTTAAAAGACTAGCTGAAGTCAGTAATAGATTGATTTTTCAGAAAGGTTCATAACTACAAATCACCCCAAAACAGTGGGAGCTGCAAGTCACAGTGCCTTTGAAAATCAGGCTAAGTTTCTTTTTAGACTTAACGCTATCGATATTGTTTGCCTGGTGAATCTGCAGTAACCACAGTGTAGGGCACTGCGGGGCATCAGATATGTGCACTTCCTGAGCAGGTATATGGTGGAATCCTAGCTCCTTGTGCAGGAGAACTAAACCAGTTCTGCTTCCCCTGATTCAACCAGGAGGAACTGCTGTTTTTTCCTATATTACTGAGGCTGCAATAAACGAATGTGTTTGCATTATGCTGAAAACTCCATTCTAATTTGTGAACATTTTGATGCTGTACTGTTCATGGTGCTGTATCCTATATTTTTGCATGGTAATGTCCATCTTAGCTGAGATCCTGGAAGATTTGTAAGGAGAAATTCTTATATCTAGCAGAAGAGATATGTAGGAAAGATGCCAAGGGTCCTGAACTTGGACAACCCTCCTGCAGATAGATACATCTCAGAACAAAAGGTTGTCTGCTGTCCAAGGGAGCTAGGTCTGGAGTTGTGCTTCTGGTCACCTGAAAGGGATTTTTAAACTTTTAAGTCATCATTACATGAAAAGAGAAGCAGAACTTTCTTTATGAGTTGGTTCTAATCAAACCTAAGGTTCTGTCACCAATCAGCAAACAGAAAAGGAGAGTTCAGGAGGGCCCTTTGACTCTGAAAGGATGCTACCTATGACCAACAGGCTCTTGAAATGATGAGGATGTTGGGGATAGGTTCTGCATAAAGGGGTTTGTTATTTTTGCCTTGATCTGTGCTTTGATTTATGCAGAGGAACTCACAGACAATCTAGGCAATCTTGTTTTAATTCTTGCAGGTGAAACTATAAACAAGATAACCCAAAAAGATGAAGTCTGGGTTCGGCATGTTAAATATATTGTTGCGTCTTAGAATATGGCACTGGTCATAGGGTCTAGGGAAGTGAATGCAGTTGCAGCAAATCCCAGTTACACAGCAGGCCAGTTATCCAGCTGAGCTATGGAAATGTACACTGATGTTATGAGCTATGGTAATAGTTAGAGATCACTGTAATTCAGGCTCTGGCAGGGGGACAAACAGGCTCCCTGTAGGCTCGCTGGAGCCTATTTCAGGCATTTTTCAGGGCGGGCTCTCCCACGCCTCTAATTGGCTGAGAGGACCACTTTTCTGCCATGCTACACAGAGAAAGGGAGGGGGAAATTCCTCACCATTCCTGCACGTCAGCAAACCAAAGCAGGGCTCAACAGAGCCCTGCCAGGAAGGAAGAAGTGCTTGTGCCCCATGCCCGGCTGTGGGAGCAGGCACCCAACATAGGTATGAGTTGGGTTGGAGCAGCCCAGGATGGCAGGGAACCTGGGAAGTCAGCCTACCAGTCTAAGGCTGGTCCCACTGGGCTCAGTGTGCTGTGGAGGGGCTGGCTGGGGCAAGAGGGTGCTTTAGACTGAGGCTAGCCAGCAGGCAGCCCCTGCACTGAAGCACCCTCGTGCCCCAGTCAGCTGGGTCAGCATTGACATGTGAGCTGCAGTGTATGAAAACCTGCTGCAGAGTTTATTAGTTTCCTGAGTCCTAATAGGGTTGCATGTGTAGATGCTGAGACATTTACTGTGGAGCTAAATAGTCAGCTTCACAGTAACCATCTCATGTAGATGCAGCCAGTAAGTCCCTGCTTATGAAGTTTATGCATCTCTGATTAGTTAGTCTATAAGGTGCAAACGTACCCTGCCTTCTGCCTAACTTCAGATTAACACAGCTTCCTCTCTGTGCTCATACATACATTAAAGCAAGAACATCCATCATGAACTAGAAAATTCCTTTCTTGAATCTAGTTCATTTATACCAAATTACATATTTTAATTTTCACCCATCTTTTTATGAGTACTTTAGTCCTCTTTTTCCTTCCCCAAATTATGCTTCAAGAGGTTTTTGGAAATCTAAGTTGATCTAAAGCCTTAAAATAAAAAAGGAGTTTAAAATACCTGCTGATCTCATATTCTCCTGGCATACTATGTTTAATGTGATTTAAAATTAATCTTATTATTGTGCCTTAAGACTTTTGATTATTTAAAAATGCAAAATTAAATAATCCATAAATCAGAGTTTTGGAGGATAAATAGGATGCAAAGTTTTAATGTTTGCTGAAGGTTTTAAAAGGGAAAATCTTAAAGACATAAAAGGCAGTTAGGCACCAACTTCCACTGAAAGCAAACAGGAGCTAGGTATTACATTTGTCCCTCTGAGAGTTTTCTTCATATTAAATGAGACTCCTCTAGGCATGTGTATTGAAAAGTGTCCTTTTCTGGTGTTGTTAACACATTTTAACTCAGCTTTAATTGACTTGGGTCTGTTTAATCTAGTGTCCATAATTGTTCAGTAATGTTAATAGGGACTAGTGGGCCTTGAACAAATGATAGACTCCCAGAAATTTATCATTAGCCCCTGCCCCCCACCCGCCCCCCAGAATCTCCCCTCCCAAAATGCATGCAATAAAATTAAAACATTACTAAAGTAACAAGGCTGTGCTGTTAAGTGCCCAGAAAATAAAAGAGTTGAACACTCAAATAAAAGAGAATCTTAATGCTGCTCTGTTGTAGGCAAGTATTATGCTGGTCTATGATTATATACCTGCTAATTATCTACGCTTGTAGAAAGCTCACTGAATTATGTTGTATTGTTTAAGAAACAATGTCATCATGTAAGTAAAGATTATTGTACCACTTGTGAGCCACAGGACGGAGTTCAGGTTGTGCGTTCACATTATACAGATTCAAGAATTAGAGCTACCATTCCAAATGTTTCTGTTCTTTGACTTGTACAATCAGTGCATTCAGCGGCAAACTCCATTTTGAGAACCCTTGAGATTTCAAATAAGAGTAAAATCATTTCAACCTCCACGTAAAAGTGTCTTCTTGCATGCTAATGTGGCATCTGTCAAAGTGACCAGGGCTGATTAAAAACCCCCCAAAAACAGCAGTTCTCCATCCTGTAAAATAGCTTCCCACTGAAGGCAAAAGTAATCAGTTAAGTAACAATATCCCTCCAAATGCATGCAAAGGGATGTGATGTAAGGTAAGGTGACCCTTTCCTGATCAAAAAAGGGCTACACTCTGTTGCTAACTGATGTACTTCTGAGCGCCTATAGAGTAACTTAACTACCTTCTAGAAATGATGATGATAACGATGATGGTAAGGATGCTAATGACCTTAAGATAGGCACCTGCTTTTTTTAAAATCCAGGGAATAGCGGTAGACTCTAGTTCAAACACATTAAAATCAAGGAGTCTGGCCCCGGTAATTATATGGTAATTAAGCACCTATCTCATCTGAGGAGATGCCGGTCTCCAAACGCTGCCCAGGGCGACGTCCCCAAGGGAGCCGATAAAAGGATCCTTGTCGAGGTGTCTCGGAGGTGGCGGGCGGCAGGGTCTGCGAGCGCCCCGCGGCCGGCCCGGAGGACTTTCACAAGGCCGGCGATTAGAAAAAGTCAGAGGACAAAATGAGCCGTGACTACGGGTTCAAACGCAAGACGCTGCTCCCGGACCGAGGGGATCGCGCTAGTCCTGGATGCTGAAGGATCGCCTGCCCACGGGGTCCCCACGGGATCGCGTTATCCCGGGACCCGAGGGGGACCACCTTATCCCAAGGACCGAGGGGATCGCTCTAGTCCTGGCTCCTCAGGGATCGCCCATCTCAGGCACCTGAGGGGATCGCGGTAGTCCTGGATCCTAAGGGATCGCATTATCTCAAGGAGTGAGGGGATAGCGTTATCCCAGCCTCCAAGGGGATGGCGCTAGCCCCGGATGCTAGGGGATCGTCCATCCCAGCACCTGAGGGGACGGCGCTACCCCTGGGGATGGAGCAGGGCCGGGCCGAGGGCGCTGCACCCACAGTCCCCGGCTCCCAGGGCAGG